TAACTTGGTGTGACCTCATACACCATAGATGAGTACTGTGGCTACTTGGTTGTGAATGCATCACATCATTCTACCACATAATTGGGAGCCACAGCCAATATCCTGTCATCTCTTGATGATGACTGCCTTGCACCATCGCCCTCTGCTTCTGGTCGGGTGCCATCATCTACCACAATCAAATAGCCTTCCCTTCGAATCAAACTCTGCAATATAAACATTTGTCAAGTCATATAGTCCCTGCCAATATATTGCTGACATAGAACATTTACAAATATTGGTTTTACCTCTATAATAGCTTTGATTTTGGAAGCTTCATTCTTTGCTTCCTCCACGGAATTGTAGCTGTTTTTCTGATTCTGTTGTTCCACGTACCATCTTATCAACTCTCCCTGCCTCATTCCAGCCAGCCCTGTCCCTGAAAATGATAACGGAACATGCTTCATGACAGTATATGTGGTGATAAATGAAAAAGGGCTACCGGTTCATCACTACTGTACATTATGCATCTAGGGTCCAACTTCCAATGCCATCATTATATAGGTTTTTTTTTTTTATATCAACATCATTATATGCATTACGCCTTCAAGCAAAATTAAAAAAATACATATAGAAGCTTCAAGGTAAAAACCAAAATTGTAATGATAACAGCAAAATAGACTAACTAAAAAGACAAATATCAAATAACATTGATGAAAGGGATCTTGCAGTTTACCATCTCGCAGTACAGCTTCTTCGTGCTGTCTAAGGCGCATGACCAGTGCTTGTGTAACCCTCTGAAAGTATTCTTCACTTATCACAAGTTTTTTCCCCTGTCGGCTAGCAGAAGCTGCTCCATTTTCTGTGCAATCTCTCTAGTTTAGTGAAAATGTTTGAATAAGCAAAATAAAAATAATTTCGGTTATAAAAGCCCACCTGTGTTTCCAGAAGCAGGGTTAGCATCAACATTGCTCGGCTGGGCATCACCTTGACTGGGACCATCATTTTCGTCAACACCATCACCATCATCGCGATTTACTTCTTGAAACTCAGAGAGATCAATCTCGCTTGACTCCACACTACAAGCACGACAAAAGGCACACATTCTAAATATGAAAAGCTAGCAGATAAAGAAAGATGTCCGGAACATTTCCAAACTTTTCTTGCCTGATTATGGATGTTTTCAGCAATTTGACTGCTACACGAACATGGCGTGGTTGTACCTGTAAGAAATTATTTGTCTCAAGTCTAGGCTGAAAATGCAATTAAAGCATATCAATCTCAAGATGCGAATGGCAAATTAGAAAACCTGAGTTTCCAAATGACTTCGTGCAATGGCCTCAGACAGTCTGATCAATGCCTCCAGCTGTCTAACAGTCATCCGATAAGCAACTCTACTCCCTGGAGTTGTATCACCTTTGCGGAGAGCAACATAAGATTCCACCAACAGTTTTCTTGCATCCGAATGAAGCTGCATTAAGATTTAGATCAGCTAAAGTATGGCTAGGTACAGTTAAAGAATTCTCAAATCGAAGCTATCAGTGTGTATGTGCATGCATGCATGAATGTATGTATGTAGCTATTTAACAACAGCAAACCTTTGGTTTCAAGGTTTTTGCATATGCAATGTAACGTTTTATCTGAGCAGTTGTAAATGCAGGAGCAAGAGCTTCTTCGCGCTTTTGATGAACTCTTACAATGTGATGCGCAATGTGGTAATCAGTTTGATCATCTGGATCATCAATCATCACATATACCAGATCAAACCTTGAAAGAATTGCAGGAGGGAGAGCCACATTATACTGGAGAACACATGAAAATGATTAGTCCAGTGAAAAAAAGAGATCAAACTTAATCAATTAGGTAATAGCATAGAAGAGTCAATTTTTAGTTATTCACATGGCTTTAAAATCAGGTGAAATAATTTCTCACCTTGAGTGGTTTAGATTTATCATAGCGTCCTCCAGTGGGGTTAGCTGCAGCTAGAATTGATGTTCGAGCATTGAGTGTTGCTTGTATCCCAGCTTTTGTGATGCTTATTGTCTGCTGTTCCATGGCTTCATGAATTGCAACCTTCATGTTCATTTAGATAGATGTCAGAAATTGCTATGAGAAACGTCAAGTTAGACTTCAATAAAAGAAAAATACCTGATCCCGAATATCCATCTTGTCAAACTCATCAATGCAACAAATGCCATTGTCAGCAAGCATCAATGCACCAGCCTGAGAAAAGAAGTCAGATGTTAAATCAGAAAATAAATGCTCACAGATTTAAAGCTGCATTGGAAATTATGAATGCTCAATATCATGTGTCATTTCAAAACTATAGTAAATGTCATTCTTAGAGTGTACGGCAAGTCAGACTAATCTAAGTCAAACTCAAAATGATGTTTAATAACTGCTTGAATTTAGAGAGCCTTATAGTCATGCAGGTTCATCCAAAAGAGAGAGGAGATTGATCTGCGCTGTCCAGAGGAGCACCTATAAAGAGGTGCGACAACTGCTTGGACTAAAACAGAATCCATGACAGCCAAAAAAGGAGTGGCATAAGGCGAATGCTACCTCGATACAAAATTCCCCAGTTTCTGGTTCTTTGGCCACCGTTGCTGTCAACCCAGCAGCAGAAGATGATTTTCCAGATGTATAGACAGATCTGGGAACTATACCAGAGGTATACCTGTAAAAGCAGAACCAAATGAAAAAATGCATCCCTTGAATCAACTTGAAAAAGAAGCAGAAGAATGAGATATTAAGAGTAAAAGAGCAGCATACTTGAGGAACTGAGACTTTGCACAGCTGGGATCACCAACAATACAAACATTGATGTCCCCTCTAAGGTTAATACCCTCGTGTGTGAACTTGTGGACACCACCCAAGAGCATAATCAGGATTGCACGTTTGATATCTTGGTGACCAAAAACAGTTGGAGCAATGCTATCTACAAGCTTATTGAAGAAATCAGGGGTGTTTCTCATTCTTTGGATTTCATCTAGCTCCTCCAACTGTCAAGTAAAATGAAGTGAGAAAAGTCTGGTATGTTGGACTCTAACCAAACATTTTTCCATATGAGCATGACCCCCAATTAAACATGACACAGTTCAAATTATATTACATTTATCTAGAATGTCAGTAGTTAATATTATCCTAGTTGGGCTATCGTAGTATGAACAAATGGTGATATACATTATCAGAAATCATGACATTTTAACCATAGAGAATTACTGAAAGAAGCACAAACAGGAAAACTGACCGTGAACTGCTGGTTATCATCTTCATCAGCAACCTTGTTTCTATTCCTGATATCAATATCCGTTCTTCCATCACAAACCTAAATGACGACAAATTTATGAATCACAAATAACTGCAATACACATACATTATCATAGGCCAAACATCAGGTATCAAGCCAGCCATAGACCAACCTGCACTGAATTAGCTATAAATGCAAGGCGATAGGAGAGGTCTCTCACTCCCAAGGCTCGGAGCCCTCTGACACCTTCACCACCAACAGCAGAACTTTTATGCTGAGAAGATTCTCGACGGCATTCTGCTCTCTCTCCAGGGGATGCCAAAGCCAATATATCTGGTACAACAACCACAGTACCTGTGAAAATGACCCTGGAAGCAATCAAAGTTCAAAGCTGAATTATACGCCAAATCCAGCGTTTACTTAAAGGAGAAGAGAAACATTAGTGATAACCAAAATAATTAACTCCAAATAATATCTTACGTGTCACCAGCTCTGGCCTGTTCAACAATATCATGGCGAAGAATAACATCCAAAGATCTGGGAAGGGAACCAGCTGGAATCTCTTTCGAAGTTTCCTGCATTCTCACCCTTTGCCAGTCGGCAAATTTGCTCTCTTGCCTAAGCAATGCCCATCTAATTCTATTGGTACATGTCGCATTGACACAGATTGTTGGCTGTAAAACTCACAATCGAGCAACACGTTTAACAATTGGCATCAAACAAAACATAAACCTGAAAACTAAAGTTGCAATACAACACTAACGCTCAAACTGACCTCGGTATATTTGAATTGCTGTTCAACATTCTTGACAACACCACCACATTCCAAACACCTGAAAGTTCCTTGTAAAAGCTCTGGCCTTACCTCACTTGTGCGAGTCACCACTCCAGTTACCGACACCAGTTTCCCAATTTCTGCTGTTGTTAGCTCTCTTAATCTGTTAACACGGTAGCACAAAATACAATTCAGGGAAGAAAAACAATTCCTAAGTAAAGGATAAATCAATTCCATCAAACCTCTCAACAATTATAAATTAAGGAAACTATAAAAGCCAGAAAGTATTAAGTGAAGAAACAAAGAGAAGAAGTACCTCATAGAAAAAGGGATATTGAAGAAAGCAACATTGATGTCCTTGTTAGGATTATCATCAGACATAAACGTAGAGCTCAGCTCCATCACAAACCTCTTACACGCATTCTTCAAATACGGCTCAAACCTAATAATCACCATCATAATTAAACAAAATAAAAACAATTGGGGTTTAGGGTTTTGCCTCTCTTTAACAGATTTCAATTCAAAATCTTTTTTTTTAATACCTCAAGTACTCCTCAGCAATGGCTTTTTGAAGAACATCATTAAAAAGCATGACATGGGAGAAATCAATAAACATTGTTGTTGATTCGTTGGCTTTCATTGATTCAATCTCAGCATCATAGTACGGTTCTCCTAGATTACGATTCTGTCCATCTAATCTAAAACTGCTCCAAACAAACAAACAAAAAGAAAAACATTTCAACAAAACATTATAGTAACTCATTTCTTTTTTCCTCAAAAAAAAAAAAAAAAAAACACTAAATCAAAAACCAAAACCGAACCTTTTGAGAAAGTCGAGGAAAATGTTCTCAACGCGGACTGCTTTCTCGTCGACGAAGTAGCCGCCAAAGGCATCCATTGTTTTGAATTTGGAAATGGGTTTCTGCAATGGAAGAAGTCTAGGGAGTTGGTGTTTGAAGGCGGGCACAGGGAAGGAAAGCCAAGGCAACTAACTTTACCATGCCCTCTTCTGTTTGGCGGGAAATCTGGAGAAGCGTCGGCTCTTTTCGCGCCAGAATTGTGAACGATGTGGGCCGGATTCATTTTAATTTCTGGCTTACTAATGGTCCAGTTCGTAATGGGCTTGGCCTTTATTTTACTGCACAGTTGGTATCGGTTATTTGGTTGCATGGTCCAGTTTTTCCGAATTTTTAAATTTGGTTTAGAACAGACATGATCGTGCAAGAAATCCAACCCATTTCTCCGTTTTTCCTAATAGGGAGGATATCTTCGTTTGTAATTATGTGAAATGCATGTACCCCTTTTTTACCCCTTGGAGTTTGAGTTGATCCTAATATGAATTTTCCCAAAACCCACACAAACTTATTTCTAATTGGGTCCCTAAATTATTTACTTTTCTCTTTTAGTAGAAAAGGCATGAACACCTTAGCACTTACACAGTGTTTATCCAAAATAAATTAATTAACCATCCAAGAAGATACAGTTTCACTCTTAATTGGTATTAAAAAAAAAATTATTATTATTATTATTATGGAGTTTACGAGAATGAATGACATGATGTATATCCTGAATTTTAACTTGGTTGAGAATTAGTCTCTTTAGATATATATATATATATATATACACACACACTTGACTTTTAATTTTCGGTTTGGATTCCTTCCACTTTATTTTATTTGAAATTAAAATCTGATCCATAATTACCTACAGAATGAAGCCTACCATTTGCGAAAAATTATGATCCAAGCTCCTTTTATATTTTGGAATGAAAAAAATAAAAAATACTATTATCTATTGAATTACAACAACTATTATATATAAAATTGGTTTATCATTTACCCTCACTGGTAATTAAGGCTAAACCTACAAGTTCTAAGAAAATAATTAATGATAGAAGTTCTCTATCATTTACCATCTAAAGAAACCTTTAAACCAATAAATTTATAGAGAAAAGAACTCTACAGGGTTGTTGAAACAGTGCCATCCAATGCCTGCCAAAGGTAGACTGATCTTATTAATGAACCCTATGAATTTACATTTTACACTGACTGCAGAATTGGCAGAGCTTTCCAATCCAAGCAAGGTTTACATAGCTTTAGCTTTCCTTCCTTCGCCTGATTCCAAAAGGGCACTTGATTAAATCTCAGGCCAGCACTCTAACCTAGATTCTCATTTAATTTAAATTTTCAACGTGGCATTGAAATATTTTTCCACTTTCTAATCCAGAAGACTCTTGCTTTCCCTGCAACAAACATATGCCACAGTCCATCAGCTTACCAATCTGATTAAGCTTGATTAACCTCCCTTCTTACGCATATTAATTGTTGGATCTCTCCTATATATTGTCTTTTATTGTATGGCTATCGTTGCTTACCAATAGCGAGAATTAATCAATTAAGCCTAACCCAGCTTCCTCACATATTATGGCAAGTCCTAAATATCTTGTCGTTTAGAGCATATCCACTCAACAAAGTAACAGTTTCATCGTTGTAATGACTCTGAAAAAGAGGGACGGAATCTCCAGTGAGAGACCCAATAAACACAAAACTGAAAGAGTGAGGAAACGCCATTAATGCCAGCATGCCACATCGTTTGCATGCTCATATTTCACTCACTGGTTGATATCTGGCAATATTGCCAAAACAAGTGGGCTTAGGTAGGGAAGTCACAAGAAAATTAAGCAGCAATCAAAGTTAGCCGTTTCAAAGCATAACCTCTCCATCCGTATCTGTGCTTTCCTTCTCTGATTACCATATATATGGTATCAAAGCCATTTGTCAAGATTTACATTAAACAAAGAACGAAAAAACAACAAATCTATACCTTCTCTCATGCTTTTCCTAATCTTACCTTCTTGCTCCTTTTTAGTCAGTCATTAATGGTGCACCTAATGCATCACTGCTGTCTTAGGGTACACTCCCTCACCACACTACTTGTGATATCATGTACAGTCTGGTTTATCGTTGGAACCTTGTAAGCAAAGGGGACGAAGATATATATAAAAGCCTATATCTTTTATCTACCCTATCAAATAAATTAATTGCCATACCCCGTATTAATATTTTTAGGATAGAATTGAATCACCGAATGGATTTTTTTATTTTTTTTGGGGATAGGATCAACCAAACATAGGTAGGATAGATAAATTTAACATCAATAAATTGCCATATATGGCCGTAGATAGTAGACAGTAAATTCATTATTGAAGTGTCCCTGGCCTAATTAAACACAAAAATAATAGAAGGCAGAGAAGAAAATGCAGGGTAAGATTAATTGTATAGTTATCGCTAATTGATTATCCTTGGATCCTTCTCTTGAAGCCGTCCACAGGAAACTCCACACAGGAGCCCAAAAACCCATAGACCCCACGATTATTTATACAGAATCCAATTTAAAGTTGCAATTTTGATTCATTTTTTAACTTAAAAATCGACTAGGATGACTACTACTACTACTTATATAATAGCAATACGCCAGGACTCAGAAGTCATCCACCTCATTATCAAGCGAGACTACTCGTCTTCTTAGTTTCAACTCTTTTTTAATGGATGCTTTGGTACAAGCATCACCTCCCAATTCTCCCAAATCCCATCTCTACTCTCAAAGTTCTCTCAACACCACCACCAAGAACAACAAGGACGATATTCAAACAATTCAAGAACAACAAAAGCTACACCAAGATTACTCATCATCACAATCACTAGTGATCATCATGAGTAATAATTCAATTAGTGTGCAAGAAGACCAGAAGGCCAAGACGAGCAAGGGATATATGTTTCTTTTGGTGATCAACTACCTGTTCCTCTTTGTGGGCTCACTCTCTTCAAGTTTACTCTCAAAGTTTTATTTCAACCATAAAGGTTCAAGCAGATGGGTCTCTACATGGGTCCAATCCGCTGGTTTTCCCCTCCTTCTCTTCCCCATTCACCTCCCTTTTTTTGTCTTCAAATGCACCGATAGACGTCCCTTTAGTCACTTCACTCCAAGAATATTAATCTTATCTATCTTGATAGGCCTCATGTTAGGCCTGAACAACCTTCTCTTTTCATGGGGCAATTCCTATCTCCCAGTGTCAACCTCGTCTCTCCTTTTGTCTTCTCAACTCGTATTCAATCTTATTCTCTCAGTTATCATAGTAAAGCAAAAGATCACCTTTCAAAATATCAACTGTGTAATCCTATTGACCCTAAGTTCAGTCCTTTTGGCTTTAGGCTCGACCCATGATAAACCTCCAGGACTAACCCGTGCAAAATACTTCGTTGGCTTCTTTTCGACAATAGGAGCTGGATTGTTATTTGCCTTATATTTACCAGTCATGGAAAAGATATACAAAAGGATCTACTGTTATGAGATGGTGATGGAAATGCAGTTAGTGATGGAGATTGCAGCCACAGCTCTGGCCACCGTGGGGATGGCATCAGACGGTGGTTTTTCAGAGATGAAGAGAGAGAGCCAAGTCAAATTTGATAAAGGACCAGAGATTTATTGGATTACAGTGTTTGCTAACGTGGTTACATGGCAGCTATGCTTCATGGGCACAGCAGGAATGGTTTTCTTAACATCATCACTAACAGGAGGGATTTGCATGACTGCCCTTTTGGCCATGAACGTTTTAGGAGGGGTGTTGGTCTATGGAGATGAGTTTGGTGGCGTGAAGGTGGTGTCCACTGTGCTCTGTGGGTGGGGGTTTTGTTCTTATGTTTATGGTATGTATCTGAAAATGAAAAAAGAAGAGGAGATGGGAGAAGAGATGGAGGATAAAAATCATGGGTTGGAGATGGCTCATAATGCTGTAGCAGCCAACAATGTTTGATGGGTTATTAACATAATGCTTTTTTTTTTTTTTTTTACATGTAAAGGGTAAAGAGAAAAATAATTATCAGTAGCAGTACTCCTATTTTATGTGTGATCATTGTAATGATAATTCTAGAGGTTGGAGACAAGATTATGACTCTGATTCCATTTCATTATCCACTGGCATTATCAACCCCACTATAATAATCCCTATCATCTTCATCCTTAATTCTTGATAGCCAGTTAAAGACTAGTGTGGGGATTATTATATCTATTTTTGAGGTTGACTTTATTTGTTTTCGGGAAAACAAAAAATCTGATAGGCCCACCAAATCCTTCTTTTCTCTTTTAATTCTAGAGTACTTTCTTTTTTACCTGATAGGACTCCTCTTATATTGCTTGAAATTTAAATAACTTAGCTTGAATATCACACACCATACCTTCCTTGCTGATCACCTTATATATAGAAAAGGATGAATAGAGAGAGTCTAGAATTATTAATTGATTAAACAGATGGATAGTATACGACGGGGGAGAGCTTAAGTGATGTGCAGTCGGAGGAAGTGGTTGGGACAACCGAACATCGACCCCGCACAGCACAAACTCTTTGTCTGTAGCTTCGTTTTTTGGAAGATCAATGAGGGAAAAGAGAATTACGGCTACTTAATTATTTAATTATAACCCGGGCAATCAAGTGGTAAGACAGCCCTTTCGGTTCAATACTACTGAATATAATACTAATTTATGGTACTTGTACGTGCATGCTATTTAAGGGTTACTGATTCATGGTTTCAGTCCATGATTACCACTCTTAATTAATTAATGCTTTTGTATTTTTATGCTATGCATTCTTGAAAAGATCTATTGATTTTTTTTTTTATCCTATATTTGAGTTCTAAAGGTTCATATTAATTTTTTATTATTCTATTGATACCCAAAAGTTTATATATATATATAAACTTGAATTTAAGATTATTTATTTAAACAATTAACCATTCAGACTGATTAATTGTATTGGTAGTCGGTTTGTAATTAATTTGCCCCTAAGCAAAAGGAGTGGTGGATTTGTCTAGCAATTAGGATGAGACCATGAAACATCTTTCACTTTCATTTATTCTTCTTCTTCTTGCTAAAAACATGGGTGGAACTAGAATTTTAGATATGGGAAAGCCAATATAAAAGATGTTAGTATATAGATCTGAAAATAAAATAAATAAATAGAGATTATAGAATAATAAATAAATTTTTTGGATGAGCAAAATGCATATCTTCTATGAAATAAATTTTAAATTGAAGAGTATATTTAAAAAATAATAATTTTTCAATGACTAAAATGAAAACTTTTTCAAACTTTTAGGAGTATCATACCCTTAAATTGAAGAGTATATTTTAGATATGTCGAGTTGAGTGCGCGATTGAAAGGGCAATTTCATTGATTCTTAAATGCATACATACATATGCACTTGTAATTTTCATGAAACATGTGGGATTATGAAAGCTTAATCTAATTGGGAAAAAAAAATCAACAACTAAAACAATAAACACTATTATTTTCATATAGTAACTAGGATTTCTCCACAGAATCTCAAATGAGTTTTCCAATGATGTCTAAGTTAAAAATTATTTTTAACGGGATCATTCAAAAAGTTTAAATTGAATAAATCTTCAAAATATTAAACAATTGAAAACGTGACCCTTTTTTCTACAAGTAAAACAAAAATTAGGACAATTGTAGATGGCGCCATAAAATTAAATTTAAAATTTTATTAAGAATTGAGGTATTTAAGAGAAAAATGTGAATATTATGGAATAGCAACCCTTTTTTTCTAGCTAGAAGACGAAGACTTAACTGGATAGGAAAAAAGATAAATTATTGCCTTAAGATGTTTAACAAAACCGTTGTTGGAATTGATATCTCATTTAAATATCTGAATTTTTTTTAATTATTTTCGTATTATCCGATCCGCAAGGATCTTGATTGAGAATTGTTTGATTGTTTTTCTCTAAAAAAGAGCAAAATATAATCAACTTGAATTCAAAATAGTTTTTTGAAATCTCAATGAAAGACGGAATTTATTATTTCATATTTGCTTTTCATAAATAAAAAAATACCAATTGAATTGAAGGATTTCTTCAAACAACAAAGAGCTGGGCCAACTATTTAATAAAAAATAAATAAAATACTAAGGTATTGTTTGATAACGAAGAATAAAATAGTGAGAATGAGAATAAAAATCATATTCTCACTTTATAGGTGCTTGTTTGAAAAAAATGAAGTAGAAATGAAATTGACAATTAAATATTGTTTTATTTCTACGAAAGGAAGTGAAAATATATATAAAAAATGAGAATGAATTTTTTTCTTCTTCAAAATAATATATATATTTTTAAAAAAATAATAGATTATTAAATTTTATTTATTATTTATTAATTACTTCGCCATCACCACAATCTTCATGCCACATCATTAAAGGTGATGAGGAAAAACAAATTAAAAAAAAATTATTTTAATTATTCTGCCACCACCACCATTGGATGTGACAATAAAAAATTTAAAATTATTATTATTATTCCGTTATCACACTTATTTTAATGTCATCCCTTGTGATGATGGCAAATATATATATACACCATCATTATAATTAATTCCTTTTAATACCATGGCAACATGTACATACTTAATTATAATTATAATGGTAACATTTCTTAATTAAAAATACTGATATATATATATATATATATATATATATATATATATATTCTAATTTTTGCTCTCCTGGTTGGTCGCAGTACATGAAAATTAAGGATTTCTCTTAATTTGGAGTAATTGGCACTCGTGTTTTCCCACTAGCAAGAAACCAATGATCAGCATTATTAGTGCTATTTCATTTTGCTTAAGATCTTCTTTATATTCTATGCTAACACAGAGAAAAGGAAGCAGCTAGTAGTTACCCTTTTTTTTGGCATTATACCACTGAAAAGAAAATCTATCTCAGAGAAATTAAATCTTGCACATGCGATTCCCATGCATGTTTTTTTAACATAGAGGAGAGGGAAGAAAAGAAAAGACAAATTGACTGTCTTGATATGAATGCCACCAGCATTGCTATATCATCACTTTGCCATTTACTTGAAGATATATAAATATATTTTTAAAGGATGCTATTTCTGAAAAAACAGTGGACAGGAATTATATATAAAACAAAAGCATACGATATGTCGTCTATTGCACAAAAGTGGAATATACTTTTTGGCCTTTTATTTTTGGTTTGCTCTGCACCAAATATATATGCCCTATATCTAAACTAGAGATAACGTGGTTAAGCAATAATATGGAGTTTGATTATCATGTCTCCCAAGCTAATATCTTTTCAAGTAAAATCAAGGTCTTTGATAGGCTGCTTTTATTGCCAATTGCTTTCGCAACTATTTTTCAGTGCAATTAGTGGGTCACCCACATTTAAAGAACGAGAAGCTACAAATATTATCACTTTTTTTCTTCTTCTTGAAATGAAAATATTGGAATTTAAAAGCATGAAACGAAAAGGAGCGGGCGGTGGATCTTCCTTTAGTTATAGTTTAATCAAATCCAATTGAAATGTAACTTTCTTTAATCATTGCTTCGTGATGAATGGATCAACTTTTCTCTTCACAGAAAGAGAAGATATGAACTCATGAAGTGCGTGTCCATATATATATATATATATAAAAGAGAGGAATCGATATCATTACATGCTCTACAGCATCTTGTTAAAGTTCTGATTGATACTTTGTACAGAAATGTATCACAGCTTGCTAGCTATGTGATAATAAACAGAGCCAATATATATATATATATAAGAGGTGGGGAATTAAACCTTTTACATAAAAAATGTCATGTCTTCCTGGCTGCTACACTCTTTGTCTCTTTTGATCTTGATGGTTGTATATGTAGCTCTATCAGTTTTTACTTAATGCATGGCAGCTATACATCAATTATATATCAATATGACAAAATGGTAGCTCGAAAGCAAGAAACATTTTAATGACAAAGCAACCCCTGGATTACGTTGATTAATAACACCGGTAAGGACTTCGCCAGAGAATAACCTTTGTAACTACAAGTTTTTACGTAATGGTTAATAAATTATCAGGTTAATTGTTGCAGAGATTTTTTTTTTTTTTTTTTTTTAATCTCTCATCCATATGTTAACTTTTAGACTAACCATACTCTTCTTCTTCTTTTTTTTTTTTCTATTTTAATCGCATCCCTCTACTCTATATATATATATATATATATATATATATATATATATATTGTCTGAATCTTATTTTTTTTTATCAATTTTAAATAAATAAATTTTAAAAAATAAAAATAAATGAAAAAAGTAAAAATATATTGGGTCATTCTTTCTAAAAATTTAAATTACAAAAAAAAAAGTGAAGGTAAAAATATTTTTTATCCAAAATATCCTTTATGGAAATAAATTTATTTTTGTGACAATAAGCAAATTTTAATTATAAAATTAAATGTTCATAGTTTTTTTTTTTTTAAATGTGGCGATAGTTTTAGTGAAAATTTTGAATGATATTTATAATTTTATAATACCTCAAAAGAGTCTATTATAATGTACTTATTTTAATTTTACAAATTTCTTAATTAATTGAACTAAAAAGTGATAATATAAATTTTGTTATAAATTTTAGTTAAATTAAAAAAAATTTTAGGGTTGGGTCCAATATTGTTAAAAGTTTAAAATTTTAACTAAGACTCTTTTTACATTAAAAAAAATACTATAAATATATATTTCATTTTATATTTAAAATTTACTTACTATCATAGTGACAAATTTGAACCCGTAAAGAATATTTTGGATTAAAAAAATTGTCTTCGCCTTTTTTTTTTAGTTTTTCTTCAAAATTTATTTATTTCAATTTAATATTAAAAAAAGGCAAAAATAAGAGGAAAAATAGAGTGGAGGGATGAGATTAAGACAACAGAACATATATATATATATATATATAAGTTAATACTTTTAGTATAAAAACATGATACGATTAAAACAAAAATTAAACATAGAGAGATTAATTTAAGATGAAAAAAAAAAAAAGTTTGAATTCCAATTTAGCCTCATCAAATATGGCACGCGTGATAGCTATTACTTTTGTTTTTAATATAAAATAAAAAAGGGTATATGAAGACGTGATGCCTATCTTTACCTTATCCCATGAGACAAATACATCTTTTGCTTTGTTCTATTTTAATTGGTTTTCTCAGGTGGCAGGCCTTTTCCTTAATTAACCTACATATTTAGTCTTAATAGAAAATGATTATGTTGATATCAAACATGTATTCAAGGGGGAAAAAAGAACTCACTGTAATAAAAAGGAGAATTAAAGGGGGGCAAAACGACAGTCATTGCATTAACTTTTTAATGACGGACAAAGTACAATAAGTCAATAATAATAAAAAATGTCAGCCAAAGTAAACTTGTCCATTTTGATTATTAAATTGTGATTGCGATGATTTGTTAGCACTTAGTTACTAGTTGCTTATTAGATGTTAATTAGATCCTCCTGGATCGCATATTCTACTGAATCAATTCAGCCCAAAATTTATCAATTTTCACAAACGATTAATTTGGGAATCCATGAACATATGCTGCATGAACATCAAACGGATCTCTATACAATTATAAGAAATCTTGTTATACAGTGATCGCCTCTGTGGATGCATAATCGTGACAATAGCAATATAATACTTTCGCCAGATTAATTAAATGGTTCAATTATATATATATATTAAAGTTGTAGAGTTTTTGAGAGAAAATAATTTTTAAAGAAGGATTATAAAGAAAAACATAATGTTATTTGCCCTGTGGAGTACTCCTCTATTTATAATTTATCGAAACTCTTTCATAACAAATATTACGATTGAAAAATTAATTTGATTAAATAACTAATTGTCAAATTCTAATAGTTACAATCTAACAATTGTATTTGTTTGAAAAACTTAAAACAGATTGTCATAGATAAAACATAATTAATTAATATAATTATGAATAATAACATGGATTGTGCAATCATTTTGCTCAAATTCTCTCCATATTATCTTTAAAGTGATTATTTATCTCACTATAATGCTACAAGAATTTTGACAATTTATCTCTAAGATTTGACATTCACATCAAAAGAATTGCATACAATACTCTTGAAATTTCTTCTCAAATTTTTTTTTAAAAAAATTCTGTTACGGTTGTAGAGTTTTTGAGAGAAAATAATTTTTAAAGAAGAATTATAAAGAAAAACAAAATGTTATTTTCCCTATGGAGTACTCTTCTATTTATAATTTATTGAAACTCTTTCATAACAAATGTCACGATTGAAAAATTAATTTGATTAAATAACTAACTCGTCAAATTCTAACGAGTTACAATCCAACTATTGTATTTGTTTGAAAAACTTAAAACAAATTGTCATATATAAAACATAATTAATTAATTATAATATAATTATGAATAGTAACATGGCTAGGTGTTACGACAAACATGGACTATGCAATCATTTTGCTCAAATTGACGCCTTATCCTCGAGATATAACACAACCATGTTAGATGACAAATATGGGTTGTGCAACTATTGTGTCCAAATTGACATTTTGTGTTTGATGTAACAAGATTGTCCGAGATGACTTATATAAGCCGTGCAATCATTTTGTCCAAATTTATACTTCGTATATGAAGTAACACGATTGTGTGAGATAACAAACTCGGACCGTGCAACCATTATGTCCAAATTGATACCTTTAGCTCGAGATATAACACAACGAGTATCGGATGATAGATACAGACCGTGCAATCATTTTATTCAAAATTTGATCATTCACATTTTCAAATTCTCTTCACCATATTTAACTTATTATCTATCAAAATCAAGATTTTCAACAGCATATTTGAACTTAAAAATTTATAATGAAGAACAGTTGTTCAAATATCAACTCAATCTCTAATATTGTCTTAGGTTTGTATTTAAGAGTATGAAATACTACCAGATTATGAGGTGCAGCATTGATCAAAGGTCGTTAACTAATTAGATTAATTTGGTGACATTTTAATCAACTCCAAGTTTGGAGCGTGCAGAGTCTGGTCTATTCATGGAATAATCCGCACGAGATTCCTCAATGATGGGTTAAATTTCAGTCAATCATTCAGTGTGGCAAACGCAAGCAATTATCTAAGGAGAGAACCTAAATCTAAATGACAGTGCCTGAAATCCAAAACTGATACACATCTCGAACTTTTTTTCCCTTTGTCGTCCTCTACGAGCGCCTCAAAAGAGTTGATCAGCTAAGCTCGTATAAAGTGCATGGCATCTGTACTAATGTAGACGATATGCATGAACAAAGCAAAAAGAAGGTGGCACCTGTACTGCTACTACGTACATTATAACACTGGTGGTGGATCCAAGTCGTCCTAGCTACCTAGATTTCAATTGCTCCTTTATGAGTACATATGTGACTTTTGCTTTATTATTTTCTTCCTTTTTCAGGAAAGCAAAAATTTGGGAGTTGCATTTCCAAATGCTTTTCTGAAATAGTAACATGAAATTATTCCATTGATTCGACTTAATAGCATGTGTGGCACTCCTAATCTACTGATTGGAATCATTCAAGTAACAGCTGTCTAAATCTAAATTTGCAAACAAAAAGAAAAGGAAAAACAAAAGTTCTTTTCCGTTTTCCCACTAATAAATTTAACTGTATTAGCTTACAACAATGTAACTTTAAATGGTAAAAGTAACCCATAAGTTGAGGCTTTCTTTCCATGCTTTAAAAGGTAAATTAAGCACGGAGAAATATTGATGTATTAATTGATTCAGTTTAGATCATAGATAAATTTGTTTGATAATATATATATATATATATTGGTTGATTCAGGAGAAGATCCATTCATTGTGAGGCTTGGATTGGAGTGTTATTACTAGCTCATTAGAAAGGTGACAATTTCTATATCAAATTGTCTCCACTTACATAAATAAATATCGTAAGATTTCTCAAATATAATCAAATTTCTCAATATATATGTATATAAAAAGACATAATGTTCTATAACATATATATGCAAAAGGTACAAGCTACATGCCTAGCTATATTAGCTCGCCTGTTTGTATACTGTATACTCATTTAATTAGCTTCGATTCAGAATCAAAATTTCATGATACACTCTCACATTAGAAATGGAAGGAATGATGGGGGAATTTGCAGCTTCAGCTCTCCATCAATAGTCCCTCGATCGAGGATTTAAAGCTGCCATTTGTGAGATCGATCGGCTAAATTTGGATAAGAATCAATTTCCTTAGTTTGATAAGGATTGAGTACTTTCTTTTGTTTTTCTTTCAGACTGCGAAGATAAGGACTGAGTGAGCATTTGATATGGTGATTACAGAAACTTGGGGATCATGATTAGCCTCGCTAGCTTTGAATTAATGTTATAGTATTTTTGCTTTGTCTGGGCTCTGTGTCTATTTGAGAGTGCATGGAGTCCCACTTTTGCCTTTTGGGGTCGCTTTAGATGGCCAGCGTGTGAACATTACAGTGGACCATATTCAGAATTTTGCAGATGGGCCAGTTTAAAAATACTGGCCTAGTGAAATGTCTATTTAGAAAAAAGTTGTATTCTGGAAAAGAACGATTTGGAGGGTCTTTTGACTGGTTTCAAATAATAATAAAATAAATTGTATATTAAAGAATAATATATTTTTATACGCTGCAAAAAATAATAAAGAATGATTCCGAATTACGAATCTATGATCATTGTTTCTGATCTATTTTATCATGTCTTACGTTAAATTTTTCAGTATAGTTCAAAAAACAATTCTTTATTTTTGACAATTCAATAGTTATTCTGGCATTGTTACTTTATGTATTTCCTCCTATTTGTTCGCTTATTTATGGCATGGCATGACTTGCAAAACACAAGCCCAATCAATTTTATATCATTTGGGCTTGAATCTGGGCCGTGGATTGGAGTTTTTGCTAGTTGCTAGTTCTATGGTGGCCACGAAATCCAGGTGTCAAAACTCAAAAGAATGGCAACCAATAAGCAACAATCATCAGAATCGTCATCTTCTTAACATGAACTCCTCAAAGATTTCAAAATGCTAAATGCAAATGCTCAAGACAGACATATAACCATCAACTTCAGATCAGTAATAACTAGTACATGTACTAGTACTACTCCTACGTTTTTCCTCTTCTGTATAGATAATACTGACTAGACAGGGAAGGTAAGAGGGTGAAGATAACGTTAATAATGGCTTTGCAACTTTACCAACTGCCGCTTGCACACTCATTATCTTCTACTTCTTCTTCATTTTCTTTACATTCCAATTCACTCTTCTTTCACCCCACCCACCAATACACACCTTCTTTGAATGAGAAGCTGACAACAAGACTGGCTAATATTTGTCTCTGCCATAATGCTTCGAGGAGGAGAAAGACTAGTAATTTGTTGGCTGGTAAAGAAGACATAGAACTGAGTGTCCAAGAACAAGAAGAAGATCAAGAAGAGGAAGAAGAAGAAGAAGAAGCACCACCTCCTAGCCCTCAAGACCTACAATATGTTCAAGATATCAAAAGGGTCTCTTTCATTTCCTCTCACTATTCTCTCTTCCTCTTCTTTTCTTTTCTTTCTTTTAAATTTTAAAGAATAACTTGTTTTTAGTAATTAATTGTATCTGTATCTTTTGATTAGGTGTTGGAGATTCTCAGGAAAAACCGAGACATGCTTTTTAGTGAGGTTTTTTTTGTTTCTTTATTATTCAATTCACTTCATGTTCCATGTTCTTGTAGCTGAATATTGTACTACAAATTAGCTCAACATTTTTGTTTCTTATTATTAATTTCATTTTGATTTCAAATTCTCATCCAAATATTGATACATTCCTCTGCCGTTGTTTGCTGTTTGTCGGAGGATGCTTCCACTGCCAATTCATTGTGTTCTTTCAAATCTGATTTTAGGTTAAGTTGACAATAACGATTGAGGACCCAAGAGAAGTTGAGAGAAGGAAACTGCTTGGCATTGATGACGCTGATGCCCCAACCCGAGATGACTTGGCTGAAGCTTTAGAACAAGTAAAATCCCTCCTTCCATAACTAATAGCTGCTGCTGCTTATTCATTCTTGTGAAATTCACTTTAGAATTGAAATCTGCTTGAACCTACTCCCAATTGAGATCAGATTGTACCATATCGGACAGCACTGAGGTTACTATTATTCTAAACTTTTGCCAAGGCTAACTGAGGATTGAAGGAACTTGCTTTCTGGCTAGTATAATCCATTACCACAACTAAAGAATGAGATGTTGTGTCAAGTATTTGGAAAGGAGAGGGCTGCAAATTGATTTTTCTCCCATGAACTCGTGCATAGATTTGGTTTTGAAATCTGCATTCCCTTTCCTATAAGCAAAGACGTCCAGAACACCATGTTTTGCAAATGCTTAGTTGGCAATTTGGTATAGAAGAGGATAAATAAGCAGGAATCGAAATTAATTATCCGACCACCTATATTCATTATCCTATCTTTCTAGCTATATGTCAACTTAGTAGCAGATGGGAATTTATTGACTTCTGTCCATCCCTAATTTCTTATGTGCTGAAACTTTGCAATGTCAAATTTCTTCAAAATCCTTAATGATAGTTGTTGCATCAAGCATTCGTATTTCAAAAAAGTTAGCACACCTATCCAAGTAGAGAACTTGAAAACATTCTCTTTCATATTCATAAAATGTGAACAATATTTTTCGTTCTGTCTAATTTGTGATCATTTATGTACTAGGTTAACGAAGGCAAAGTCCCAAAAAATCGGGTGGCACTTCAAATGCTAGCTGAGGAAATGATAAATTGGCCTAATTTGGAGGTAAACTTGTGATTTAGCATATGCTTGTTGTTGATGATAGGAGTGCTATGGTTTTGACTTTTTCAGGTCTCGATTTTCATCAATATTTAATTTTTCAGAATTTGAGTTTCTTGTAAATTTGCTTATAGATAATCTCCTTCCTTGGGTGTCCATAGTCTAGAATGAAAATAGCCATGACCCTGGCTCTGTGCAGTATAATTTCTGATATAATGTGATTTTTTTTGTGGTTAAATCAAAATATTTGTAATCACTTTGTGTGAGAGATTAGCCTATAAAGTGCAAGGTTGGGACCACACTTCAAGCTTATATTTCGTGTTTAGTCACATCCAAGGAAAGCATAAACAACCAAATATTTAAAGACTAAAATAGTTTGGAGATGCACCCAAAAGAGATTAAATGATAGTTGAGATTTCAGGCATTGAGTTGGGAAGTGATGAATGAGCTAGATTGGTTGTTGTGAGTAAGGCATGAGTTGAGAAACAAAAGGGAAGGAGATTTGGTGAAGGTGAGGCCATTCTCAACTAGGTGGCGATGTTATTTTTCAAACATTCATTCTGTTAAGGTGTGCAAGAAGTGTTGGGCAATGCAACATCCAATGGGCAAAGAGAAAACATTGGTGTTTTTTCCATATCCACTTCCTCTGTCTGAATAGATGGAAGCCATAGAAGTGTGAAAGAGTCACTGAGCAAGTGCTGTCTAAGTAGGAAACAAAGAAATATGAACCTCTGCTAAACTATGCTGCAACTTACGAGTAAAGATCCCTATATTTACTTATTCAGTATGCAAAAAGATGTAGAAAGCAAATCTAAAAAGAGTTGAGATAGTTCTTTGATATGGTATCGAGCCTCAAAAAGGTTCAACGGCAATCAAAGATCCTAGAACCTAAACTACTTGACAGACCTCAAAAGATGGGCTGCAAGTGAGGGGGAGTGTTAGAGCACATATCTCACATTAAATAGTTAAACAAAAGATGAGTGACATATAGAGTTGAGAAGGGGCGACCTACCGTAAGGCTTAAGTCTTTTTTATAGAACTTAATATCAACTATTTAACTCAATAAGAACAAATAGGCATAGTTCTGACTGGAATAATTTTCACCTTGCCAATTTAACCTAGAGTTGAACCCAGAACTGGAAAGCAAAATGTCTTTAAGGTACAACTCGAGTCAATTCAACTCAAATTAATTGTCCGAGTTCCAAATTTGCTGAGGTCGGCTACATGGATCCTTTTTTTTTTTTTCCTATATTTCTTTTCTGTTTTAAGCCAAAGTTTCTGTGAGTGGTTGTGATGCTGAATGCCTGAATCATATGTGTCCTAGTTCAGCTCATGAAATTGTCATTTCCTCTTCTGCGATCCTTATTTCTACCCATTACTTTTCCATACTGATGCATAACGTGTCTGCATTTTTCATGGCAAAATCATTTTAATTTATCCTTCCTTGACTTATATTCAATAATTACCACCTCCACCTTAAGTTTGGCCTTGCTGAATTTTCAATTATTCATGACATGTTTGTTGAGTAGGTTGAAGCACCAAAAGCAAAGCCAAGCAAATCCCTTTATGCAAAAGCCACTGACACTGGTATAGATCCTAAAGAGGCTGCAAAAAGACTGAAAGTTGATTGGGATTCAGCTGCTGAAATTGAGGATGCTGACATGAATGACGAAACTGAAGTGCCTCCAGCCATGGTTTGTTCTCTTTCTGATTAGTTTAATGTGTAGTCCATTTAAGGGTGGTCTGCTTTTGTGTTTTTCTTAATACAGTAGTCTGGCTGGTTCATACGAGCTTGCTATCTATGTGGTGCCGATAATTCTGCAAACATGATACAACTAGCTCTTAAATTCTACTTATGAAACATTTGTCATGGAAGATACTGACTCTCACAAATTTGAAAGTCACTCTTAAATATATTAAGATTTCTTATAAAGGTTTATTGATTCTAACTTCATATTTGAAAGATAGAAAAGACATAATATGATTAAAATAGTAATACTTTTTTGTTGAAATTGCTGATTGATATGATAAAGGTGATACTGTACAACCTTTAACATGACTGCAATATTTGTTCAAAAACACAAGCCAGGTCCTATCTGCCTCATTCATTGAATCTGTATGCTGGTTGTAGTGGGCGTCTTTGTGAGGACCTGATAAAATGATCTATTGAAAACTGTAAATTTCACTCTTTTGACTTATGTAATTTGAGCTTGTAACCAAGGAAGCCAATTCTTTTGCAGGGTTATGGAGCACTATACTTGGTCTCCGGTTTTCCAATCATCATTGGTATTGCAGTAGTATTAATCTTATTTTATAATTCTCTCCAGTAAAAATTTTTGTCCTGCCGTTTAACTTAATGTTTCAAATGCGTTAAACAATGTGAATACCACATGATTATGCAATTAAAAATGTATTTTGATTAATTGATCTTTGCTTGAGCTAGTGTGATGAAAAAATTCTGATGAATGTCTATTTGCAGTTCCCCAATAATCTCCTTTGTTGTGTTTAGTTACAACAATTTCCTGCGACTTCCAGGCAGAAATTAAAGAGTTCGTGCCATGTCCTTGTTGGTGGTCTTTTATGGCTGGCCATGTGATATTTTTTAGTTCTTGATATCCATAAAACATGAAGCATTTTAGTGCTGCTAATTGGCTTAAGTTTCATTGTATGCTTGTTATGTGATTTTGTGCGTTGATGCAAGCACATAAAACACTGATTTCTCAGGTGCTTGGAACACTTATTTTGAGTCGTGATGGAGATGAACTAGATTCTTGCTAGTGTCGATTAGTGTACTCTTATCAAACCATAATTATTGCATGGAAGTCAGCTTTCATAAGAATATAATATAAAAGAAATTATTCTGAAGCTAGCAGATGATACATTGATATACGATAAAGAACTTGCAATATTATATAACTATGCCATTTTTAATATGGGCGAGTGGGGAAAACATGGAAATCACTACTCATTGACACTTATGACATGCTGCCCATGTCCTCACTTTGCCATATTCCTCCTCTTGCTCTTATAAGAAGTTAAATCTCTCAGTTCATTCTCATAGCTAGTTTATGCCCTTAAACACCATGGTCCTCCCAGCTTCGGATATCGTCCTTCCCATTTCAAAAAATGACACTCGCGACTTGAAATCTCTGGTGATCTAGACTTCTGTTTGAGTACCGCTGAGCATTTCCATGAGTTAAAATTCGTGGCTATTGAAGAATCTAATAGGTTGATTGGAAAGGAGGGTATGGAAAAGGAAAAGCAGATTTCGGTGGATCCAATATCGTTGAGAGAATCATCAAGAAGAGAGGCTAGCTTCAACTTCATGCTGCCGCCTGTGTCGACTGCTCCAACTCCAGACCTGCTATCACCTGTCCTGCCTTCAAAATCCCAGCTTATAACCTGCAGCCTTCCCAACTCAATCTGCTCGTCCCCTCGGTTCAGCTTCACCATGCTGAAGAAGAAATGGAAAAATGAAAGCCATGCGTCTCCCCGCCAAATTGACAATATGGCAGGTCGGCATTCTTCAGCACATGCTCCTCTCGCTGCTCGACAAGAAATTCGCTTGCAAAGGAGCAAGTCTTGTGCAGAAGGAAGGACAGCTGCACCGGCTGATGAACTTGATCTTTGGTTCACCAGACCAAATGCTAGCAGGTCTGATGACGGACCTCATGGACACTTCGTAACTGATGCTAGCCAAGAAGATCACATAACTGGTGAAAACATGGATCCCATTGATGATGGATTCAAATGCGGTGCGCTATGCTTGTACCTTCCAGGCTTTGCAAAGGGAAAACCAGTGAGACCGAAAAAGGAAGAAGTAAAAGCAGATTTGGGAAATGTACTATCCAGGACAGTTTCTTTGGAAAAATTTGAATGTGGTTCTTGGGCTTCATCAGCCATCATAAATGACCATGAAGATGACTCCATGAATCTTTACTTTGATTTGCCACTAGAGTTGATCCAAACTAATTCGAATTATGCAACTTCACCAGTTGCTGCTGCCTTCCTCTTCGACAAGGATCGAAAAGGAGTTCTCCGGAGTTGTTCAACAAGAGCAGCACCCAGGAAATCCCATGAATCTTCTCGCCATGTTAGGTTTTCAACATCATCTGCCACATCGCACCCTACCTCGCCAACTTCTTGCATTACACCTCGCTTGCGAAAGGCTAGGGAGGACTTCAATGCCTACTTAGAAGCGCAGAGTGCATGATCGAAATTTCTGCTAACTTCCTTTCTTTCTAGCATTATGTTGTTCTGTTCGTTGCAATTATGCAGATTTGGATGAAAAATTTTACCCGAGTGTGATGCATCCTTCGTTTTACAGCCATCTTCTGGAGATAAGCCAGAGAAGGTTGAACAAGATAACCGTACGAGAATTTTACCGTTTCTTGTTCTTCTTTTGTTTCATGTATTGGGTAGATATCCTGATCTTCGTCAGGTTGCTGTCAAATTAATTGTAGTGACCAATTTACCAGCACGAAAGCTTTTAGCATCTATTGATGAGTGATATTTTGCCCTTGGTGAGATTGAAATTCCATTCAATTACCATGAGAGATTGAGTTGCTGTTAGAACATGCAACCTTCATCATGTTTGTGTCTAGTTGCTTTAGTTAATCATCATTACTGAATCCTTGAACATTTGGGTATTCAATGATATTGATACATATGATCTCTAGCTAATTAACATCTCTAAATGTCTGCAATCCTGCGACATGCCATTTTCAAAGGAATAGGTGGATCAGAAAAGACTCCTGTAGAGATCTGATCAAAAACAAATTTGTTTGCAGCTTCAGTGTAGTGCTCCCCATCCCAAATTACACGTACCGAGGGGCGATCACATGAACCCACTGTTTTCTGGGTGCCATTTATTGTAATTGTTGATCCACATACAGCACTACTGCTATAGTTATACTGGTTGCCATAGCCACAACATGCTACAAAAGGAAGCTCAAATCCTACAATTTGCAAAGAAACCACATCAAGTATATCTGTAAGCCCAGAAAGTCACAATTATACATGCAGAATGAATATAAAAAAAATGATCATATTTTCTTCAAGTGGTTTGATATAAATAATTTTCAATGCGATTTGAGTGTAATATAAGGTTTAAATACCATATTTTTCGGGTTCTCTGAACAAAGCATACTTGAGAGAATAAACATCTACGTATGTGAATACAGCTGCTGGAAAATCTTTCCTGAGCTGAAATACACTCTCCTTCAACTTGTGATTAAAGTATTGAACTACTTCATTATACGGCTTTGCGCAACCTGCATCATCTTTCTCTGCTTTGGGAAAACCAACTAAAATGTAACCAAGACAACCAATTGGTCCAGTGTTATGAATCCAGAATGATCTAGCTCCCAAATTGTACACGAGCTGCATGCACCAACAAGACTCCACTATTTTTAGCTACGTAGCAACCATATACATGCTAGCTAAACGAGCTGATGAAGTTGCTATGTCGAAGAATTTACAACGAAATTGTTCTTGCAGAAACGAGTTACATACCTCAACATTTGTTGAAAATGCAGTAATCATATCAGGGACGGATGCGTTCACTTCCTCAACAGCCATACTGAAAAATCCAGCCCCAAGATCATTTTGACCAATATCAAATGTGTATAAAGCTTTTTCAAAATATTCTTGCTGGGGCATCAACTTCGCAAATATTCCTCCTGTAAAAAATAAGATTTACCAAATTATTGTTAATTAATTGGCCGTACTCTTGGAAATATGAAATTAATAAACTAGATTCTTGGTTACCTTTTTCCCTAATCAACTGTGACCTGGCTTTGAATTGCAAGAATTGCTGATACTGTACTTGGAGGTAGAAAGGACTATATTCACCATTAGGAATAATACTAGTCGGTATGATAATGGTGGATGATGAAGTAGCAAAGTTTGCTCCATGTGTGAAGTTCGTACCCAGAGAATTCAAATATGCACTCAGATACGGAAGATCAAGATTCTTTGCTGAAAAAATAATTTGATTTCCATCTCTCAGGTAGTAGTACTACATGATCATTCATGTTTTTTATACCAAGGACACTCATTAGCAAAACTAGTGTCAAAAAGGGATTAAAAAGGTCTTAACAAGCCTGCCAAGATAAATGCAATATTAAAGTCCAAGGCATGATCGATGGATCTATATTTTGGGTTTGGATCCTAATCCATTAATTATTCTGTAAATCTCAAAATTTCCAAAAATCAGAGGCCTAACATTACTTAAGATTCAAATTAATTTTAATTAACTTATAATATATTCTTAATAAAACGTACTTAACATATTAATTTTTAATATACTAACTCCAAAAAATCTAGACTTACAGAATGTTTGTAAGCTAAAAAAGAATAACTTACAAATGAAATCTATTATAAGCCTTCCATCACAGTATCTCCCAGCTGGCATGTCAAAGTAAGTCTCTCCATTCGGAAAGTTAGGAGGAGTGAAAGCAGCAGCCAACCCACCAGTATCGGAGTTGGAGTCACCAAAGTTAAAGATTGCCGGGAACTCACAGTTTTTGAAATCAAAAATGGTGGCGAAAGTTGCAAAAAGCATAGAAAAGGAAAGAAGAGCTTTAAGAGAGATTATAGTACTAGGAACAAATTCCATGTTCGAAGTTAAAATTATCTTTCTGTACGTGATGAGATCAAGAGAAGCAAAGTTCGATCAACTAAAAAGTAGAGAGCAATGGAAACATTTCCAGTATTTTTTTAGTATTTTTTTTGGTAGCAGGTAATGATGCTTTCTACTCTCAGCTATGACGACAAACGCAAAAAGAACCTCTGTGACGACGTTAGTGCTATTGTTTAATGCTTTCACAGAAACAAACATTTTGTATATTCGTTTCTGTAGTTTTATTCAATCTCCAAAACCTTAAAAAATGATTAGCAAAATAATACTAAGAAGCAAGAACTTGGGATCATAGTGAGAGGCTAGACAGTTGTTAGATTTTGACGCAGAGATGGGCCGGAAGTCACTTGAAAGTTGAAAATATTTCCTGCAAAAGGCCCAGATTTTTATTTGCGTTGTTATTACTATATAACTTGCAAACAATATGAGGCCCGTTAATACAAAAGGCCTGTAAAGCCTAATTGATAATATTGTGGGTTAATGTAAGGGTTTAAAAAATAGCACGTAGAAGGATTACTCAAGTCCATGCATCCCAACTCCCCTGCCACGAAAGAATCAGCAAGCTCAGCCCAACGACCCAGCATTATGATTGTATGGCTTAATGGCAAATTTTGCTCCCAAAATATTACAATTTGATAATTTTGGATTTAAAATATTGAAGATTAGATAAATATGATCCAAATTTTCTAATCTTCGTTATTTCTAATAGTCTATTATCACGTGAATGTTATTTAATTTTATTTTTTTAATAGAGTTGAGAGAATTGTAAAGGGGTAAGACAAGTGACATGTCGTTTGTCTTATCCCTTTTTAATTACAAATTGAAAAAAAAAAAAAAACAGAGAGAGATAATGCTTACCTTTTTAAAATCTTTAAAAGAAAAGGGAATGAATTTTCCCTTTCTGGATCATCTACTGATTTGGTGACCTCTGAGTTACTAGAGTTGCTTGGATTTCAAGATGTGAAGACGGTAGAGACAAATCAATTTGATTTAGTATTTGTGCACGTTGGAGCTGGTGAAAGGTTGATGGTGAGATAGACAACACTATTGCCAATGATGTGGAATGTATTAATGCTTTAGTTGATGGTAACATGCGCATAGCACAACCTGGCTATGAAATCGGTTCCCGTCTGCACCTGTCCCTTGTAATGAGCTATGGTTATGTTCCAGAAGGAGATGGCAGAGATTTGTCAGTTTTGATCTCTAAATATGAGATGGAAGATGCTCTTTCAAAGCTCTTCTCTCATCAAAGTTATACCATGAAAGGAGAAAACCCACGAAATGATGTCTTGTAATATATATTTTCGCATTTCTTATGGATCCTGCTAACTTGTGATCTACAGGTACCATTGTCCATTGTTAATTGCTCGATTGCACTATGCTGTAATCCGTGTGGAGATGGCAGAGACATTTTCCTTTAAAGATTTTAAATAATTTGAATTATATTTATCTAATTTTTAATATTTTAGAATTTAAATTACATAATTTCATATTTTGAATTCAAAATTTTTAAATTATAAAATTTACCATAAAACCACGATTTTATTTTCAGGAATTTGAATTCCAAACAAACACAAACACCATGACGGCGCTAAAAGTTTGAGTCTTCCTTGTACCAAAAATTATATCTTAGAACAAACTCTGAACGATGACGTTCTCATGTTTTGCATGTGACCAACAGTACTTCTCAAGTGATGGTGCCATTCATATGCCGCATCACGTCCAAATTAATATTATGCACATGTAGCTGTGTAATGTTTTTTTTTTTTTTTTTTTTTTGTAACAACGGTAACAGATTATATTATAAAATGTTGGGTTAATTTCGATTTACCTCTTTGAGATTTTTTTTTCCTTCCTAAAATTTTGATTGTTTCAACATTTAATCAACTAATAATTTATTTTTCAGCCCTTAAATTTTTTAATATTGATGAAATAGAATCGAGTTTCAAAAAAAGCCACATGTATCACTTATATTTTTAAATATAAATACTAAAATAAAATAGTAAAATATATATTAAACTAAAAAATTACATGCAAAGAGACAGTTTAAACTGTGAAGCTATATATATATATATATATATATATATATATATATATAAGTCAGACATTGCATCATGTCAACAATAATTAGTTTTACCAAATATATAGCTACTTTGTTAGTTAATGATTATACCCTTATAACAAACAATGCAAAATCTTAAAAAAATTTTATCCTTGTGCACCAGACTTATTAGCTTTAAGGTTCTATTCTTTCTGATATTAAAATTATTTTATATTTTTCTTTATTTTTATGTAAACCATATTAAAATGATTATAAATTTTGATTTTCTATATTATATTTTTAAACATGAACGATGTACATGAGATCTTTTAGACTTTTTAACCGGAGTAAAAGATTTAATCTCATCAAGTTATTTTAAAAAGATTATATTTGATCAAATTTAAAAATTTTAAGGATTGATTTTTTTTTTTTTTTTTTTGTTGATTTGGATAACTAAAGGAAGACATTGATATTAGGAAATGAATCAAGAAAAAATAAAAAAATAAAAAGACAAGAACAATAATACAATATAAAAATTTTATGTGGTTCGACGATGATGTCTATTCTATGGCTATATTAGGATTTCTTATTAGCTTTTGTTAAGTGACGAGTTATAGATACAAGTGATGTTGCTTTTATTTATAGTGTGAATAACCAAAGTTATAAGAAAAAATATCTAACAAATCTATACACTCGACCTAATATTCCGTAAAATTTTCAAAGGTTTTGACTGCGAGCCCTTGCAAGGAACACTATTCTCTTGACCTCCATTCACTAACCGAGCTAGCGAGACCTCGTATCGGCTCTTCATAGCGTCTTATATTATGTACGGACCCTCATTATTTACATTAGTCTCCACAACTTAACGATTGATAGCTCATTCAAATTTTAAGAAGTACAATAAAATAGAGAAAATCTCAAAGGAAAAAACTAGATTTACTTCAAACTTCATAATGATAAATTAAAATTAACCCTAATATTTTTTTATATCATGATAGAGCATTTTGCAAGCATCATGTTCACGACAATCATTATGTAACAATAACAACTATCTTGTCGTGGTTGTAGGTAGTATAAAGTACATTACGCTTAAAAATTATATTTTTAAAATTTTTATCATTTTTTCTTAATGTATTTTATGTATTCACAGTTAATAATACGGTACCAATTAATTTATATACCTATAAACCTCACTATATCAGATATATTGTTTGATTTTAATGCGTAATTTTAGGCTTTGCATTTTAAAAATATTTTATATGTCGTGTAGCCATGAAAATTACATTAACACTCACCACCGTCTATTTTACCACTATCCATTATCCAATCACAGCCACCATCTAAAACCGTCCTTCAGTCTCATGCACGTCTGAGATGGACACTACACCCTTCACGTAATTAGAGGAAGGTGACAAAAGGCCCTGTCCTTAAAATGTTTATATCGCCGTCTCTCCTTGAAAAATCTATGAAAATATGTTTTTCCTTATAATTAGTTGTGATGGATTCATGGGTATGATTTATCTCCTTTTATGTTTTGGCGTCAGCTAAATTTGTATTCTTGTTGTATATAATCCTAATAAATAAATAAATAAATAAAACAAATAAAACAAAAGTTCTACTATTATTCTATAGTATTTTAATTATAATGTTGTCTGCAGCCCACCTTGATTAATTAATTAGTGATGTCTCTTTGTAATACATCTTTCATCGATTTGAAAACACAAAAACAAGAAAAAAGTACAATTTTCTTAAAGCAATGATTTTTTTATTTTTATTGTCGATGTTGTTTTTAGTAGGTGGATGGTACATTTTCCCTCAAATTTACTATGGATTATACAAACTTAGGTAAACTATCTATTTACAGTACTCCTACAGATTCAACAATGTCACACTCGATCTAGTCTTTATAATTTAAAACTTTCCAAATTAAATTTCATCACTTCCATAATTCCAAAAAAATTCAATGTGATTCGTGATTAATTGTTGGTGGGTCCAGTTTTTAATTTTTATTTTATTTTTCAAATATTTTGAGCTTTTTTGTTGGATTTTATCCTGTAGATAGATATTTGATTGAAAAAGAAATAAGAAACAAATATTAAAATATATAAGAAAAGGATAAAATAATGGGATATTCCATTAGGTTCCATTATGTATTTAATATTGGCGATGCCACTATTTGAAACATGTAATAACTGAAAAATTCTCATTTTATGAATAAATATTATATAAAAAGTTCAATTATGAGTTATCGCTACCCGATGTCGAATGGGACTCTCAAAAAATAAAAATTAAATCTAAGAGGTAATTGTTATTTACGAGTTCGGAGTCGCCACCTAGTATTGAAGGAACTAGGAACCTAAAATAGGCATTGGTTCGGAGATTCTACAGTAAGTAGTTGGTTACACTTTTGAAAAGATATTTAATCACTCAAAAGTGCCCTTTTCGAAAAAAGGTATCATGTATGGTTTAATTCTAAATTCATCTCCTAAAATATCAAATTGTTTTCCGATTTCTAAACTCCTATTTTTTAAAGCCCAATTGAATTTTAAATTTTTGGGTGTGGTATCGTATTGAAACGATCGTCGATCCCCTTCGTTGAGCGACACGTCGATTCAAACATCGGATCCACTATAAGCCTTGACACAACCGATGTGTCGGAGGACATCTCGATTAAAAGGTGAATTTTGGTGATGTTAGTCCCTATCGGATAAGAGACTTCGTCAAAAAATTTTGGATATTCTTTTTGGTGACGTCGGTCCTTGTCGGATGAGAGACTTCGTAAAAAATTTTAGATATTTTTTTTTACTTTTTTATTTTTTATTTTTTACTTTAAAAAAAAACTTTAAATTTTTAATTAACTAAAATCAATTAAAATAAATTATGAGAAATTAAATATATTGAAATCAATGTCCGTTCCTAATAAATAAGAGATTCGTTGATCCAATATTTTAATCATATCAAAAATCACGTATGAAAATAAATTTCACACCTAAGTATCTCTAGATTTTCTAACATACATAAGACTAAAAAAAAAATTACAAAACACATAAAATAAAATAAAAAAATAAATCAAACGAGTCCAAAATTCACCTACATTGTAAAATTACAAAAATGCCCCTAGAATGCCAAGTGTCATTGTCAAGTGATCGTTTGTCTTTCGGTGGGTCGTTCGAGCGCATGGATCACCCCACCTTGTAGATCCGGTTGCGGCGAGTCCGACGGTGGTGGTGGTTGTCGGTAACGACATCGGAGGAAGGAGATCGGAGCCTCCAAAGTTTCGATCGGGTCTCCCTTTCTCACCGATGATGATTCGACATCCTTTCGGGATTCCAAGCATATCGGTTGACTCACGAGGTTTAGAGAAGAATTTACGTAGTTGTTAAGACTTCCAATACCTTCTAAATCGGCCAATTGTTTTGGCTTTACCAAAACGGATCCGAAACGAGTCGTATTTAATTAGATCATTTTTCGATGATGTTGGGCTATGATTTCAAGGGGGTAGTGTTTAGGGGGTTGGCTGACCAAGTTTGTTAGAGTGGAGCATGGAGATTTGGCTGGAATTGGGAGATATGATCGGATCTTTTTGTGGGTCGGATCGTGGTGGTTTAATCTCCAATTACTCTCCTCCATTATTGGTTCTCTCTTTAACTAGTATGGATCGACCGATTTGGTGATAGGTTACACGTGGGTGGTGTTGATCGGGGTCAAAACGGATCAAAAAATGTTCAATTGGAGGGTGAAACGTCCGGCTAGGTAAACGAGTTTAGTATCTTGGTTAGGACGTGTTTGGCTGGTTTTTTTTCTCGGTTTTCAATGTTTTTTCTTTCTTTGGCTCTCTCGGTTGCCTTTTTTTGGTCCCCCTCGCAAACCAAAATCCGAAAACTTTTTATAGGCCGAAACCTCCTAAAATCTCTCTCAAAATCGATCTATTCAAATTCAAATTCTAATTGTCAAATCTTAATTTTGAGATTTAATTAGCTAAAAATAAGGAGATTCCAATTCAAAAAAAGATTAGTGGAAGATTTTAATAGATCTTCGAATGATTTTAGAGAGATTTAGTATTTTTTATATTTTTTTCTTTTTTGTATTTTTTTATTTTTCAAGGAACCCAAAATTGGGTTATGGCATGAGTCATCAATCCGTTGTTGAATGTATAAAAGTAAAATTAAAGTGAAAGAACAATTAATACTTCTAAACCCAACATTGATTATGTAAAATGATTTTTTGTAAGGTAATATGTGCCAATGGTACTAATCAACATTATATTGATCACTATATTAGAATCATAACTTTATTTTTTTCTTCGAGCATCTCTATCTCACGTTGAAAAGTGATAAAATTTAACTTTTTTTAACAAACATGATTTCGGGATTCAAATTCTATACATTGACGGAAAATTTATCCGAGATCGGTTCGTTTACCATTTGATTGTTGGTGGTATTAGAATCATAACTTTAATATGAAGTTATGGTTTTTGTTTTTTCTTTCTTTTTTGTATATGTGAATAAATTGAAAGTTATTCTAGAATTGGCAGTTTGTTAGATTTTTTTTTTTTAAATTAAAATTAAGAAAAACAAGAGAGATGTGTGGCGCACTTAAAACCAATTAATTTCAGGAATACAAAATATACACAAGTTATCTTTGTAATAATATTTTATTTGTTTATTGAGAGGTTTATGAAAGTTGAATTATACAATAGACATAGTTTGTTATTAATTATTGGCACCAAGTACTAAATCGGTGGGCAATGAAACTCGTGAAGAATGTTTAAAACAGCCGAACAAATATTATTTTTAACAAAATGAAGAATGGTCATACAAGCCGGGCTTGAAGGAGCTCAACCGGATACTCCAATGTCTTAAATCGTCAAGAATGCCACCATAGCTAACTAGGCTTGTTTTTTTTTTTTAATGAAATCATGAATCACTTGTCAAAATAATAAGTAAATAGGGAAATGAGGCAATATGATATTATATACCAAGATCATTCTCTAATTTATTTGTATATTTTAAAATAAATTAATTATAACTATATATTTTAAGTAAGTTTATTATTTAAAACAATAAGGTTAGTCTCCAGTTTTTTTTATATCTTAAAATAAGTTAATATATTTATTTATTTTAAGTAAGTTTTTAATATATTTTTCTAATAAAATTAGTAGAAAATATCACTCAATTTATACATGACTAATTTTATTCTAAAAATGTTTTTCAGATAAATAAATATGTGCAAATCACATGGATGATGAACATCTGAAATTTTAGTATGATTTTTGAATGGAAAGTGACGAATTTGTAGCGTCAAGTTTGAGTTCTGATGATTAAAAGATGTTTGAGATTGTGGGTGGTTAAAAGATGGAAGAAAAATAGTTGGTGGTGACCAATTGGTTAGGACTTGATTTTGGTGGGGGAAAGGGGAGGAGAAGGGTGTTTTTAAAGTCTGAAAACGTTGGTCGATGAGTTAAGACTTGATTTTAGGTGAAGTATAGAAGTTTTGATTGCAAAAATAAAAGTTTAAGGTGGCTGAAAAAAATGACAAAATTGATTGTTTTGAAGTGATTTTAGCCGGATTTTTGGAGAGAAAGAGAAAAGGAGGGAGAGGAAGACAGGATGAAGGAGAAGAGGGAAAAAAAATGGATTTGGTGTTTGCCTTTGGTCAGATTGCGATCAAGGTGGGAGAGAGGATAGTGATGAATTGGTGATTTGAAAAGTAATTTTGAAATAAAGTTATTCATATGTAAATCACATGATACTTTTTGATAGTTTTATCTAAAAAACATCATCAATAATAGATTAAAATTTTATTTACTGTAAAAAACATATGTGGCTCATATTATAATATAAAAACACTTTCTTATTATATAAATCCACGTTGGACCATTTCTTCTAAATAAATAAATAAAACCTGATCAATCATTCGTTACGAGGAAAAGTTTCTTTGGGTTTGCTTTTAAGTTTCTAATTATTGGTTAGGAATTTGTCTATATTCACCTAATCAATCAACAGATAAGAACTGAAAATCAACAAGTATGTAATTTATCATATCCGTAGCTTTGAACTGTCTCATCTTGAAAGGGTTCCAAGGTATTGCACACTTTTCTGGCATAACACCCCACAGACCCACACCGACACCTTGCCCCTACGAAATTTACATTTTATCTGCACAATTATGTCATCATCTACTTGTAAAATTGAATTATACTATTTATTTGACAGTGGATAAATAAAATTAACTATTAAAAATTTAAACGGCAAATAGACGTTCTAAACACACATAGCAGTGTTTTGGATGCACTTAATTTTAATGTTTTGGAGAGATTATATACATATGAAAGCAACCAGAGCAAGCTTCACCAATTTCTTGCGCATTGCGTAATTATGCATGTGAAGAGCAAAAGCAGAAATTTATAACCACTGTTCATCATCAAAAGTGGTCCACAGGACTGAGTTTAAGACCCACAAAATTACGTTATATTGACGGGGATGGATTTAAAAGCTTTTAATTCTCATTATTGCAGTAATTGCTTGGCTAATGGACAATCAGTCTGTGACTCATCTTTTTTATAGGAAACTACCACCTAAATGCCGAGCTGATTATTAATTGTCTTTAGTCAAGTACTTGAAGCTAAAAAAAAGTAAAAGCAACAAAAACTGAAGTTGGGTTTCCCTGTTAAAAATATTGGCAGAAAGGAATCCCTTTCCCTTCTTCCTCCCTCCCTCCCTCCCTGTGTCAGAGCCTAACTCAAATAGACCCAACACAAAACATAAATTGTCAGGAACAAACCCAAGTTTCTGTTCCACATGCCCTCACGTGCTTTGTCCCCACTAATGCAAATACTTACTCATGACCATCCATTTTTTTATGAACTAAAACTAATCTATATAAACGCGCAAACAAAACTATAAACAGTGAAGCAATGCTTTTTGGAGGTGCCGTTCCCCAATAAGTACCTTTCCTAACTTTCCGTCATTCCCTATAAAAAAAAAAAAAAAAAAGTAACTAAATTAATGGATAACTGGCTAGGTTAATAGATAAATAAACAAAGACACATAGACATCGCTTAGCCATTTATTTTAAGTAAATAAATGGGGAGGTTATACTCTAATAGAAGTAAAATAGATTTTTCTACAGATGTAACCGTGTTTGAGTTGTTTCGCGACATTGACTCATAACTCCTACGAATTCTTCAAGCGATGAAGGTTCAACGTTTTTTAAGAAAGAAAGAAAGAAAAAATTTACTAAATCTGGTATCATTTGGTACGTGAAGCCAAAACCATCGGTATGACGAATGAAAGATCAGAAATTGACCTTCAGGCCTCGTGTCATGCAAACTATACGGCGAGTGGCCTCTTCCATAGGATCCACACCATGTCGCTTTCATTCGATCTCATTTCCCATTTTTGATAAATAAAAGACTGCTGATTTGGTTGGAAAATTGTAACCCAGACCCGGTTCCGGTTCATGTGCTCAAAACTATCTCATTAACTAGTACAACGGACTCTTATTGATTGGCAAATTGATGTGATTGGTTTAGACGGTGGATAAATTATATGATTTTACTTTGATGCTAGAAAGAGGGTGGCTGTTGTTATATTTTTTTTGTTTTGGCGGAGAAAAATGAAAAAAACGGTGGGAAATCTGAATCAATTAGTGATGTAGCAAAATACAGGTGAGTGCTAATGCTTCAAATATGATGTGGTGCCTAAAACCAGAGGAAAAGGAAGGCTACGTGACATGAAGTCTCTCTCAAAAATAGCTGGAGATTGGGGTCATGGATGTTGAACTAGCAGAAGATGGCAAAGCATGGTAGGGAATAATACAGTTGGTATGGCCGGGGACTTCTAAAACGTTCGTTACCCTTTCTTTCAAGGTATGGTCTTAAATACAGCTTGTCCTCTAATAATATTATTCCAATTTATCCAACGCCATAAATATTTTGTGTGAATTATGTGATTCGCAATCTCGTGAAGAAATGGGACCACCAACCAAACCAAATTTATTTGGATCAGATTTCCTTTTTTTTTAAAAAAAAAAAGAAATATATACATGATAAAATACACATCCTATGGCATTTTGAATTGGATCTTTATTTTAAATCTCAACTATACAATCTAGCTAGCTGTTTAATCAATTTTAGACCAGAAATAATATTATCTTTGATACCATAATTAACTTATTTGACCACTCCTTCAATTTACGATTTCTTTCTTAGTTACGCCACAAACCTTACAGACAACTCTTTGCATGAACATGGAAAATGGGAAATAGTTTGGAAGAATGGTAGGAAAAATTACCTATCATCCAAAGAAAGTGTCAAATATGATGAATGGTTCTTCAATAGTGATTTTTTTCTACAAGATTGCTTCGAAAAAAAATAACACAACAATTAATATAAAAAATAATAAATAAATTTTTATTTTATTCTTATTTAACCTTAATGATAAGGTTAAGGTTTTTTTTAAAAAAAATATTCATATATTTAATTTTTATATATTTATTCACTAAACATTGGGTATGTGTCATTCATGGATATTTTTTAAAAATAGAAATCCACTATTGATATTTTTTATATATATATAATAATTAATAATATTAATATAAAAAACTATATTTGAATCATTCATGGATATTTTTTAAAAATAGAAATCCACTATTGAAAAAGAAGAATGGTAGGAAAAATTACCTACCATCCACAAGTATGTGTCAAATATGATGAATGGATCCTTAATGATGAATTTCTACTTTTCAATATATATATATATATATATATGAAAGAAAAGAGAGAAAGAAAGAAAACATTGACGAATCATCTTGAATTAATCTGAAGTAACAACAAGGTAGAGAGGAAAAATCTTCAAGAATCCTTGAGAATTCGAAGGAAGTTTTTTTCACCTTCCTGGCCCCTGCTCAAAGAGGCAAAGACGTGTGGGATGAACAATTGACTCATTTCATCGTCGCTTTTCTCATGAATTAGTTAAGAGATTAGACATTCGAAAGGGACCCAATGTTTTGTCACCCACATGTCCTTTTTTGACTTGTCAAAAGGCAAAAAGAAAAAAGAAAAAACAGGCTGTGGCTTCCCTCGAAAACAATAGCACATCTTTACTTTAGCATTAATCCGACTAAAAACCTTTCTCAACAATCAAAAAAAGGCAGCAAAAGCATTAGACATCGATGAGGAATAGACCAAAAGGTAAGGCAGCATGAAAACCAAGCACGTTGCTTTATCTCCAAACGGTGGCGGTGGGACCACATACCGACAACAAATTAACCACAATTTAGGATCTTTTACATTAAAAATAGCATACGCTATAATGCAAATTTATATAGATACATAAAGAAGAATTTAAAGAATGCAGCACCTCTCATATTATCATTCATACACCATCTGTATCTATGCTCATAAAGAAAAAAAAACTATCATACAGGGAGGGAAAAAAAAAAAACCAAATGAATCTTTCTAATCTACCCAACCTTCAAGAAAACAAAAAAGAAAAAAAAATTTACCAAGTAACTACACAGTAACAAAAGAAAAACGATTATTCGGTCATTGCCGGGTATTTTGTAGCTTGGGTCCGATCATTTTGAGCTCAAATTTCTTCACAGACCAAGCAAGATCTCGCATTGTGGTCTCAAGAACGTAAGGAGTGTTTTCAAATTTGATTTCTGTAACATTGAGCAGGTTCCGGCATGGCTCACGCCTCTGTGCAATGGTTCCATGATAATGGAAATATTTGATCTTGCCCTCGGTCCTGTGAGTTGTTTTACCAACAAAGTTCTGGGACATGTGCACTCCAGATGCAAAGACATTGCGTGGTTGGATTGCGTATTTTCTGTCTCTCCTTATGCCTTTCTTCACATCTCTATATACAAGCTTCTCAAACCCCCACTTCCTGTGAATCCAAGCACAACCACAAGACACAAGTTATAAAGGGAACAAAAGACGCGATCCAGTGTAAGCAGTCACTTATTTTACAACTGCTAATAACGAATTTCTAAATGCTGTATGCATCAAAAACATATCTTGAAAGGGACTACACATCACGACATGAAAGCCATTCTTGAAATCAAGTTTCTCATACAGAGAGATAATATGGGAACTCATTGTTTTGATCAAAATCATAGACATCTTAGGTGGAAAGGTAAAGCCCCACATCATAATAAGTCCCAACAGCAAGAGTCTCAATATTACAATTTTTTATTTCCCATCTATATCAACATCAGTTCAATCTCACAATTTATATCAACATCAATCTACTTTTGATGGGAAAACATCAACATAATTGATTATTCACAACTATCTAGTTAATTTTTATTTATTTCCATGTTCATTTCATCACAACAATTCAATTTTCATTACCACAATGAACTCTATTGGTTTTTCACCCTTCTTTGAGAAGGGAACATCGAATGGGTGTTTGATTCTCCATGAAAATAAAATGAGACTTGAACAAAGACAATATTAATAATAAAAAGAATCAACAAGGTCCTAATCATAGTTAAAATTAAGAGAATCACTTCAGAACAAAATTCAAACCCATCCCACTGCCACCTGCCCCCAGTACAACGACGAGAGAAGGATCACAGTACCGACACCAGAAGAAAAATCCCAAACATAAGCACACCACTCAATCTTTTGCTTAATTGAACATAGACCCGGTAATGCTACGTGTACGATCATTGATTTAACTTAAAAACCACAATAAATGCGAACTTGATTATCAAAATGGAAAAGGAAAGAACCAAACAGAAAAATTAGAGAATCTGAATCAAGCTAAATGCATCCAATTATTAAACAAATATCCCAAAGCCTCAATCAACCAAGAGTCTATAACAATTTTGTAAAGCCTAGAAGCTAATTTTCTCCACATGAAAACTTCACCGAGCAAAATTCAATTACTGTCGCAGTAAGACCTTTGTATGAACTGACGCATCTCTATTTTCGCCAAAAAAAAAAAAAAAACAATATAGCACAAATTCTTGAACAGGAAAAAAAAAACACAGAACCATTCTTGTAGTTCGAACACCTAGAAATCAATCACGCTAAAAAAAAAAAAAAAAGAGTTAAAATAAGAACTAAAATAAAAGGAGAGTAAACATGATTATACCTGTAATATCTACCATAATCAGCAGAGAGGCAGAGTTTGCTACTCATAGGCATTTGCTCAATAGTGAACTGAGTATGATCCGATAGCGAATCCAACACAGACTTGATAGTATTCTTTGGTGGCACATAAATATACTCATCAACATCAAAAAAGAACATCCACTTAGTCATAAACTTATACCTATGCAAACAATCATTAACAACCATAAACTGATTATGGTAATACCCATCAAACCTCTCTTGGTCTTTTATATCTTGCAATGTAACATACCCCAATTCCATCCATGGCTTCAAAACCTCCAAAACCTCCTCATGAACCCCACCAGCATCATGTATAACAAAATGAGATCTTTGCCCAAATAATCTCACATGATAAGCAAGCCATTCCCTCACTCTTTGTGGACTTAGCCCACCATATAAAGATGACCCACAATACAAATAATCATATTTAGGCTTTGAACTATAAAGGGTCATGTTCAAATCACCTGGAGATTCATTTAAAACCTCAAATCTATCAGTAATGTTAAATTTTTTATCACCACCGCCTGATGTTGAGGCTTCCAAGAACAACTTCCCACCTGAATTTTCAACATTAACCGGCTCTGAAAAGGTACAGTTCACTACAACAACGGTGTAAACGCGACCATAACCCCAATCAGGGAGGATTTTGTAAGAAACAGTGGAGAAAGTAGAGTTAGATGCAGAGGACGATTCAGGGACCCACTCGCATTGGTAAGTGGGTTTTGAGTAAAGGTGGAGAGGTTTTGAAGCAAGGCCTATAATAGCAAAAGTGTTGAGTCCACCTCTATAAGCACCCATGGTGATAAAATTATAAGCAGCCGAACCATAAGGGTTAAACACTCGCTTTATAACACCATTGTCAGCCACTTTATCTTTTTGAGTGGAGGGTGGAGATGGGATTGGAGGCATGACGGTGGTATTGTTGAGGGGAGCAATGGAGGTGGTGGTGGTGGTTGTGGTAGTTGTAGTGGTGATTTTTGAGATGCAAAAACGGAGATCAGAAGCAGAGATGGTAAAACGTGAAGGGAGAATCTGGAAAAGTGTAGCAATACTGCAAATAACTAAAAGAGCTGTTAAAAGAAGTTTAAGCTCTGCAGCACATGAGTTCATTACAACACAAGACACAAACATATTCTTTTTGTTATGCTCTCCTCCTCCACCTCTCTCTTTCTCTGATCTCTCTTTACTCATATTGGATGGATTTCTGACGCTTCTATTTTCTTTTTCAGAGAGAGGGAGAAGATAGGGGGAGATGAAGAGGCAGAGGAAGAAGGTTTCTCTTTCTTGCTGTTTTCTTTAGAGAGGGTGTGGGACTTGTCTGTTTATGCGTGTTTTTATAACAGTTTTTAAGTTTTTTTTTTGGGCTGTAAAACGAGACTGTGAAAAGCAAAATTGGAGTGCTGGTGTGGATTCTAAATTGCTTGGCTGTCCATGTTAAAAAATGATTTGTAGAGTACAGGTAGTAATCTTTCTTTGTTAGGTAATTAATTTACGTATTGTTAGGGAAAATCAGATTTTTACATTATGTTTCGAATTAATTAACGGGTAAGATTTAAAAAGAAAATATGATTGGCAATGATTGTGTGAAAAGACAATTTTGTGGTGGCAATGAAACTTAGGAGAAGAATCTAAGCATCCCTTTTATGTTAATTCAAAAAATATATATATATATTATACCAACAGTGGCGGAATATTGAAGAAAAAGCAATTAAAGTAAGGTTGCAGCATCATTACAGACAAAGTGATTTGTTAATTTGTAATACACAATAAAAACTTTTGGTTTTTTAGATTATTATACTAATCTAACATCTGGCTTAAAAATTTCCAAAAAATCATAATTCTCAATATATTTATAATTTTTTATTAAAAGACCGATAATTTTTGTCTGTCTACATCCATGAATGCATAAGATTATTTTGGAAGCATTTTAGTATTTATCCTCAGGATAAAAAAAAATCGTATTGGCAACTAGAAAGGATAAGGATTCTAAGTTTTATTTAGGATTGGTATTGAGTTAAATGGATAAAACTTTCATCTAGGATTGGTGCTAAGTTAAATGTATAAATCTATTCATGGTTATTCTTTTGAATTTTATATTTAATTATTTATTTATTTATATACGAAACACTTAACCAAAAAAAAAAAAAAAACTTAGATACCCAAAAAAAAAAAAAATGGAAATACAGATTCCAATTTGCCGGGCTGCTGGAGTGCTGTAAATTTGTTTTTATGGATTTTACAGGTTTTCTTTTGAAACTTAATTTTTATATTGAAATTTTTTATTAAGTGACGTTGCATCATGCAACTGGTGTTTTATTAGTTATTTAATTTCATAATTATAATTATTTCAAAGGATCTACATTCTATAATTTGCAATTATTTCTTTCCATTAGATAACACGTCATTTAGTACCCAGAATTTAATATAGAAATTTAATACCTCTGCCATTACCCTTTTTTTTTTTTTTTTTTTTTTGAGTTTTCAAGTTTTCCTCCTTTTAGGTCCATTATGTTTTTTTTTTCCTCTTATATGTTTCAAAAGTTTTTTTTTTCCAAGTTCAAAAATACTACACAAAAAGCAGTACTTGAATCCCTAAACCTTTACGAGAGTAAATAGTACACTACCGATAAGCATTATTAATCTCCTATAGCCATATGTTATAAAATTTAACTAGGTGGTCGTACGTCCTACACCGCACATCAAGCAGAATATATGAAATCATTGGAAGAGTAATTTTAATTTGATCGTCTGTTTGTCTGTAATATATTACGAATCTGCTAAAATACAATGAATTAAAAATAAAAAAAGAAAATCTAAATTTACAATTTATTCTTTCTTATCTTCTTCATAAATTTATAGTTAAAAACATGATTTTTTATTTTTTATGTATTGATTTTTAAATAAAAAAACTTGCAATAATCTAAATATAATATTTAACCAAAATTTTTTAAAACTGCTTTAATATTTTTTTTTACAAGATTGTATTAAAAAAATAAAACAACAATTAATATAAAAACTAGCAAATGAATTTTTTTTTCATTCTTATTTAACGCTGATTTATAGTTAAAAAAAAAAAACATCTAAATTTATAATTTATTCTTTCATATGTTCTTCGTAAATTTATAGTTAAAAACATGATTTGTTATTTTTTATGTATTGATTTTTAAATAAAAACACTTGCAATAATCTAAATATAATATTTAACCAAAAATTTAAAAAAAATGCCTTAATATTTTTTTTTACAAGATTGTATCAAAAAAATAAAACAACAATTAATATAAAACTTGTATAAAAACTAACAAATGAATTTTTTTTCATTCTTATTTAACGTTGATGAAAAGTTTTTTTTAAAAAAAAATACATACATTTGATTTTTCTATATTCATTCATAGAACAATCAATAATATTAGTATAAAAAGCTATATTATTTTTAAAAAAAGAAATTGATTTTATAATATATATATATATATAGACACATTTGATTTATATACATTCATTCTCAAAACAATCAATAATATCGGTATAAAACACTATATTTGAATCACTAGGATGATTCCCTTAAAATATTATTTAAATTATTTTATGTGAAAGAAATTGATTTTAGAATAGTAAAAAATAAAATTAATAACAAATGGTTGGTGTTATGCGCATACATGCATGATTAATTTTTAAGAAAACCAATTATCTCAGTTTTTTATTTTTACAATGTTAACTAACTTGGTGGGTTCGGATTGTGAAACATACATAGAAAATATTTTAAAAAACAAATAAATTACAAGAAATATATAACAATTAATAGACAGAAATAAAAAAATTATAAATTTAATTTTAATTATATATATTATGTTATAGAATATAACTAGTTGGTTATACGTGCTACACTAAACATCGAGCGAGAACATGTGAAATCATTTGAAAAATAATTTTAATTTGATCATCCGTACTATATTGTAGGTCTACTAAAATATAATGAATTAAAAGTAAAAAAAAAAAAATCATCTAATTTTATAATTTATTCTTTCTTATACTTTTCATAAATTTGTAGTTAAAAACATGATTTGTTATTTTTTATGTATTGATTTTTAAATTAAAAAAACTTGCAATAATCTAAATATAATATTTAATCCATTTTTTAAAAAAAATGCCTTAATATTTTTTTTACAAGATTGCATCAAAAAAATAAAGCAATAATTGATATAAAAACTTGTATAAAACCTAACAAATGATTTTTTTTCATTCTTATTTAACGTTAATGAGAAGTTTTTTTAAAAAGAAAAAATATACATACATTTGATTTATATATATTTATTCATTGAACAATTAATAATATTAGTATAAAAAATTATATTATTTTATTTGAAAGAAATTGATTTCATATATATATATATATATATATATATTCACAAAACAATCAATAATATTAGTATAAAAGCTGTATTTGAATCGCTGGATAGTTTTCTTGAAATATTATTTAAATTATTTTATTTGAAAGAAATTGATTTTAAAATATTAAAAAATAAATTTAATAACAAATGGTTGGTGTTATATATGTAGATACATAATTAATTTTTAATAAAAATAATTATCTCAATTTTTAATAAAACTAATTTTTTTTATAAAAGGCTTGAGACAAAATATCTAAAATATAATTTTATTTTTTTAACACTCTGTTTAAAAATCATATGAATAATATCAATATATTTTTTAAAAAATAATATTCTAAAATTTAATTAAAAATCCTTAATAGAGAAAAATAAATCAATTTTATTAACAAATAAAATTATATAAAAAAATTAAATTTAACTTTATGATAATTTCATAAGAAAAGACAAATAAAAAAAAATCAAATTTAAACAATGAGAGTAATATAATCCGATATGTCAATAAAATATCCAATTTTAATTGCCTATTTAAAGTGAGGAGATTTTATGCAAAGAAATAGTCAATTTTAGTTGGCCATTTAAGTGAGCAAATTCTATCTTTTGTGTAGATTCGACTAGTCACCTTCCCGTGCTGCGTTGCGGATCCGATAAAAAAAATCATTTTAAAATTTTAAATTTTTTTAATTATAATTTTTATTCACTTAATTTTTAATTTTTTAATAAATTTTCTGCTTAAAAAAAAAAACATAAATCATTCTTCTTTATAGATTCATTTTAAAATAAAAAAATATAATAATTTTCACTAAAATATTAATCAAGAATTAAAAAAACTTTTAAAATATAATTTTCATAATATTGTATTCTAAAAAATAAATTTATAATTAATGGATAGGCTTTTGCAAAAATTAACAAATGAGAAAAAAATTCTTATTTAATGTTGATGAGAACATTAATTTTTGAAATTATCTCAGTGCAACGCTACGGGGTAGATAGAACACCTAATTAAATAAAAAAATATAAATTTATGAAAATTATAAAAAGAACACATAAGTAGAAAAAATATATATCATATAAATATTAAAAAAAATATCGTATATATTATATAATAGTCGGTTTGTATAAAACAAAATAACGATTGATTTTTTAAAATTTTAACACCTAATTAAATAAAAAAAAGAACATAAATTGATTGAAAAAAAAAAAAGCAAAATCGATTTTTCAAAATAACATAAATTGATGGAAAAAGGCAATGGAAAAAAGTCATGTATAGTGCATCAATTACATGATTAAAATCTTAGAGATCAAAATAAAATAAACCTAAGAATTTTAAAATTTTAAATAAAAAATCCTAAATTGATGGGAAAAAAAAAGTAAAGGAGAAAAAAACATGTACAATGAAACTAAACTAAAAATTAAAAAAAAAAACCTTGTTTGTAAAAGTTGATCGGCATAGGGGAAAAAAAAGTTAACATGTAAAAAAAAAAAGAAAAAGAAAAAGTAAAAGTAGTTTGAAAAACATTGTTCATTAAACGAGTGAAAAGAATAGTAAGTGCATGGTAAATGTGCCTTCTCTCTTAGAATATTTGTAGTGTTAAACTCATTCCTCTATTAGAAAATACTATAAATATTCTATTTAAAGTGAGCAGATTCTATCTCTTGTATATGTTTAATATATATATATATATATATTAGCGGATATAAAATAAAAAAATAAATATAAAAAACCCACCTAGACTACATGGAATAGAT